AAGCTTTCAAAGTGTCTCGGGTGGATCTGGACCACCTTGACCAACAAGGGAGGCCATTTATGGCCCTTGTGGGCAACTGGAGTGGGTAGCGAAAAGAAAAATAATTATTTTTCCCTCTTTGATTCTGAAATTGTTCGGAGAATGGGCACTATTTAAATCAAATAAAGCGACGTTAGAATCCACATGACGAGATGGTAAAAAGTGGAGAGCTTGTTTGTGTTGGGGGGGGGGACTGTCACTATCTTACCTGTGGAGTCGCTGGGCATCACTGCCTCATCCTTCTGAACGTGTGATGATATGCCCTCTTTTGGATCCCAGCCCACCCCAAATTGGCCGTTGACGGCTAGGCACCAGATGAAAAGAAGGGGATTCGTCCTCCAGGGTAGATATTCTGTAACAGCAATAGGCGAAGTGTGGTTCCTTAGGAATCGAAACTTGCAATGCATCCCATTTTGATTTTCATACCGCCCCCACCCCCTCGCCCCAACACAACACTGGCACAGTAAATGCAGGATCTCCTGCTCGAAGAAGCGTTGCCGTTAGGGAAGGAGGAGTAATAAAAGCCAGCTTAAATGTTTGCACGATGCCTATGAAACATGGAACGGCCGGCACCAGGTTTGCCCTGCAGTCAGCCCAGCTGTGTTCTGCGTTTCCTTCTGCCCAGAAAAGCACAGCTGGGGGGGCATCTTTGTGGCCAAAGTGGAGGGGGTGTCCTTTCCTTTCCAAAACCACCTGCCGACCAGTGGGGGCCCCTGCTTTCCAACAGGAAATCTTTGCACTGCCCCTCCCTTTCGGCACCTGGGGGTCAAAGTCCCGGTGGCTCCCGCTTCGGGTGGCGAACAAATGCACAACAAGGCATCTAACAGTAACAGAAGGCAATAAAAAAAAAGAATAGCAAAGAGAAAGAAAAATAGCGAAAGAGAAAAGTTCCACATTCCAAGGACTCAGCTACACAAGATCCTAAGGATGCAATAATTAAGAGAGGCACATAAATTACAAACTAAAAAATAAAATTCATGGCAGCTGAGCCAAGACGGATACCTAACATTACCTAATGTGACAATTTGGAGGTCCCCACAGAGACCCTTCTCCGTTCCATGTGAAGAAGCTGTAGTTGGAACATACTTAAATCCTTTCAGCGGCGATGACGCCAGGGTCCATTTAGAGGTATGAGCGCTTCCTCGTGACAGACTCATGACGAACCTCTCCCAAAAAGAAGGGTTCTTTTCAGCAAAGGACGTGCAAGTCTTTTGTGAAGTTAACGGCTCTTGACTGCCTGCCCTCGGATGCTTTGGCCGAAATCCTGTGGCTTAGAATAGTGAATCGCACTAGAGTTGGGGCTGTTGAATCAATGGGGATTTAGTAAGTCCACTGCCCTCTCTGTAAGTCCCATTGATTCAAAGGGGATGACTTTCACTGTGATTTAATTGGGCATTGCTGTTTGAGTAGGCCTACTTGAATCAATGGGTCTTACAGAGTCGTGGCCTTTCCCAACTCGTAATTCCTGCCCCTTGCCACTTGACGGGTCTGAGAACTCAATTCGTGGGAGTCGCTGTCCACTGAAGTCTACTTGGACTGAAGTCAAGGTTTTGTGTTTGTGTTTTTTTCCAATGGACTCAGCTCATGCCTGAGAACCCGCCCACCCTTCCTTTTTATTCTGGGGGTGGAGGGGGGGGGGAAGAGGCTTGTTTTTAGTCCGGACTCACACTTGAGATCAAAGACTCTGACGCTGACTTGGGACTCAGAGCCAGAGATTTGCCGACATCCCCGGCACTTTAGCACTGGCCCCCATTAAGCCTGGAGCCGATTGAGTCCTTCACGTGTTTCTTGACCTTTGCAGCGAGGTTTTGTGTTGTTGTTTTTTTCCAATGGACTCAGCTCATGCCTGAGAACCCGCCCACCCTCCCCTTTTATTCTGGGGGTGGAGGGGGGGGAAGAGGCTTGTTTTTAGTCGGGACTCACGCTTGAGATCAAGGACCCTGACGCTGACTTGTAATTCAGAGCCAGAGATTTTCTGGCCTCCCCGGCACTTTAGCACTGGCCCCCATTAAGCCTGGAGCCGATTGAGTCCTTCACGTGTTTCTTGACCTTTGCAGCGGTTTGAGAAGAGGTCGCCGTGTTGGTCTGTGCTGGCATATCAGGCCGAAACGGAAGGAAAATGAAAACTAAAGAAGACAAAAATGCGGTAGCCCCTTAAAGACTAACGGCTATATTTTAACGCAAACTTTTGGGGACAAATCCACGTTGCTGTGTAACCCCACTCTTATGTCTGAGGAAGTTGGACGTGCTTCATGAAAGCTCACATTGAAATATAGCCGTTATTTTAAGCCCCGAGATCGGCAAGGTGGGGGTGGCGGCTCCCATAAGGTGGAGGGCGCCCATTGAAAGGAACGGGGCTGACTCGTGTGCAAAGCAGGGGCGCAAGCTCAGGGCTGCATCCTCCCCCTCCCCCGCGCCCGGCTGAAATAATCCAGAGGAAAGGGATTGACTGTGGTCCTGCAAACACCCACAAGATGGGTTATAATGCAGTGCTTCTCGTCTTTATGTGCCCCTCAAGTCACGTTGCATTCACAACCACCCCTAACAGGTTTTGAAGTCTGTGCATGTTTAAGAAGTGGTTTTATCAGGGTCCCCTCCAGTGAGCTTCTGTGGCCGAGAAGGAATTCGAACCCAGGTTTCCTGAATCTTAGCCTTCCTCTCTATTCACTCTACCGCACCGGCATCCTCACCGTAACAAGACTGGGTTAAAACATCCCGAAGGCATCAGCAATGCCAGATCGAGTGACACCCCCACATACACAGTGTAGGTGAAAAAATGCATTATTCTAGCAAGTGAATGGGAAAACTTGACATTCAATTTTTTAAAACAAGTTATTGCATAAATTCCTCATAACGAGGCAGCAAGCTGTAGCTTCCTTAGCTTGTGTGTCTAATGGGAAAACTTGACATTCAATATTTTTAAAAAAAAACAAGTTATTGCAGAAATTCCTCATGACAGGAGGCTGCAAGCTGTAGCTTCCTTAGCTTGTGTGTCGGCTGCTGGATAGCTAAGGGGTTGAGCTTTCTGGCTGCAGAGGCAGAGGCTGGGAGTGTTGGATTCCTCCCCACTGGGCTTCCTTGACAGGGGCTGGACTGGATGACCCTTAGGGGTCCCTTCCGGCTCTGCAGGTCCAGCCTTCTTCCCAGGGAGGGTCCTGTGATGTTTTCCTTCTCTCTGCAGGGTGATTCTGGGGGGCCCTCGGTGTGCCAGAAAGATGGAGCATGGACATTCGTTGGGATTATCTCCTGGGGGCAGCGGCTTCTGCTCCCCCTCCAGCCCGGGAGTGTATGCCCATGTTACAGAGCTCCTTCAATTCACTGAAGACACACCGGCCAGCAATTAATCATCCTTGACCAGGGAACAATAAAAACCAGCATTCGTCACCTTGCTGTGTCTTACTTCTTGAGCCAGTAGATACCACGCTTACAAGACCATGGCTCTGTCTGTATACCCCACGGTCATTGATTTGGATAAACATAGAACCAGACACGAAATGGACTATTCCAAGGGGGAATAATAATACTTTGGTCCAGACCACCAAAGCTGTTGCCCTTACCCACAGGGTTGCTTGAAGTTGTGGGGGAGAAGCAATAGGGCACTTGGTACAATCCTCACATCCAAATAGTCTACCAACCTCAAGTGACCCTATTTAATCCAGCTCCTTCTGCTGCCGAATTCCAGTATCATGAAATGGCTTAAAAGCAAGCCACTTCAGGATACAGTACTGGCAAATTGAACATTTCCCCTGCTCCTCTATGGGAGGGGGGTGGTGGAGTGAAATTATTAATTTTTTGCCTTGGTGAGATCATCGCTGATGTGCTGAATCACTTAGATTATTTTTTTTTAAAAACCGCACAATTTCCTTGTGTGTAGTGCTCATCAAAGTAATTATTTGCAGCTTCAGTTTCGATCAGCACTTCACATAAAAGGAAATTACATTTTAAAAAATTAATCTTAAGTTATTCAGCGCATCTGCGATAGTCTAGCAGAAGCAAAAAAAAATCATTTCACTTCTTCCCCCGCTTCCCCACAGAGGAACAGGGGAAATGTTCAATTTGCTGATATCCTGAAGTGGCTCATTTATTAAGACACTTCAGAATACCGGAAACTGACAGAGCTGCAAGGCGCAATTTTGGTGCATTCCCAGAGACTGCGCACACTGGAAAAAGACTGAACACACCAACCCACACCAGAAATGTCTCATGCTGAATTATCAGCAACAACCATTTGAACTTTTGGTTTCTCATTACATCACTGAATTATTTATTCCTCTTTATATGATCCAAGTCCCAGATCTGACCTACATTGCTTCAGGTGAAAAGACTGGATCATATTTTTTTTATGCTGCCCTGGTTAAAAAAATTAACCTCCTGGCCTGTAATAATCTTAGCTTTAATTAGTTTTCTAACACACAGGGCTGACTTTTTAAAATGTGAACATTCAGAAATACAATCCCATGAAATACCTGCAGTTTTAAAATTCCCCGACACTTTGAGACCTATAGATGGCTGGTTTTGTGCTGCTAACGTGCGAATCAGCTCTTAGAATTTTGTGACCATAGTTAAAAGGGTTGTGTGTTCCACTCGTGGTTGTTAATGGGTTGTGGTTCTACGGCAGTGGTCCCAACCTTGGGCCTCCAGATGTTCTTGGACTTCAACTCCCAGAAATCCTGGCCAGCAGAGGTGGTGGCGGAGGCTTCTGGGAATTGTAGTCCAAGAACACCTGGAGGGCCAAGGTTGGGGACCACTGTTCTACGGCATGCACAAGGTTGCATTTTAGTAATCTAGGTGCAGGACTTCTGGCATGCACAAGATTGCATTTTAGTAATCTAGGTGCAGGACTTCATAACTGGAACCTTCTCCGTTATATACACACAGTTTCCGAAGTGGCATAGAATGGTTGTATCACCCGTATGCAGAATATTAAAGCACAGAAGCAAAGATTTCTATCCCTTTTCAACCATTGTGGTTTTGAGTCTGACTCTGGACAATCATGACGTGTTCCCACGCCTGCACAACAATCCTATCTTTACGAGCAAGAAACCCACCATGGTCCGAGTTGGGCAGGGTTCCCAGTGAGCAACCTGCAACAGTTGTGCTGTTACTTAGACCTGGTGGCTTGGTCTAATGGCTGTAGAGAGAGCAGGTTCTGTTTCGACCCAAGCAGACCCTGCAGCCAAGATTTTACCGATTTGATTCTGCTACATGTATTTTTATTTTATTTTTATTTTCCAAAACATTTTATTGCAATTTTGTTACACAAATCCACAAGTTAAACAAAGAAACCATAATAACCTTGAAACAAACAAAAAAATAGGAAAACAAAATTATACACAAAATTGCAATCTGATTCATGTATAAACAGCAATGTAACCATTGCAAGGGTGTTGAAATCTCTGCTCAGCCATGCTGAACCAGCTGGAAGTTTTCTTTCTAAGGCTGCTTGAAACAGACTGAACAGGCCTCCATCTCTCGTTGAACTGTAACCCGCAGAATAGCTCCTGGGTGGGGAGCTCTGGAAATGGTGGTGCGTAGGTCTGAAAGATTGACGTGCTGGGTACTCATTTTACCGACCTCGGAAGGATGGAAGGCTGAGTCAACCTTGAGCCGGCTACCTGGGATTTGAACCCCAGGTCGTGAGCACAGTTTTAGCTGTGGTGCGTAGGTCTGAAAGATTGACGTGCCTGCAAGGATAACCCTGGAAGAGCAAGAAATACGCTTTGCCTTTTAGCGCGATCCGACCCTGTGAAATTCAAATAATAATAATAAAAACTTTGGCTTTAAGAAGCCAGCCGCGAGAGGCACCGGGCCACCTTAAGCCGGAGGGGGGCGGCTCAGTCTCTCCGCCTCCCGGCCCGCCCCACGGCCGCCCCCACCGCCTTGCCTGCAAGGATAACCCTGGAAGAGCAAGAAATACGCTTTGCCTTTTAGCGCGATCCGACCCTGTGAAATTCAAATAATAATAATAAAAACTTTGGCTTTAAGAAGCCAGCCGCGAGAGGCACCGGGCCACCTTAAGCCGGAGGGGGGCGGCTCAGTCTCTCCGCCTCCCGGCCCGCCCCACGGCCGCCCCCACCGCCTTGGCCGCGCAGGCGACGGGCATGGCTTTCCTCGGACAGACGCTGGGCTCCGCGGTCAGGCGCTACTCGCGAGGAGCAGCCAAGGTACGGGAGGGGAGAGGCGAGGCTGCGCCCCTGCCCGGGGAGCAGCTTTGCGAAGCCAACGCCGCGGCGCTCCGCCCGTGCGCAAAAAGTCGGGGGCGAGCGGCGGCGGCTGGTGCGCAAAAGGGGCTCCCCGGGGACTTTGCCCGCGGAGGCGGAGCGGGAAGGAGGGCTCTGCCCGTTCGCTTTCTTCCAGGGCGATGAAAGCTGGCAAGCCGCCCGGCACACAAACGGCGGCTGGAACCACCGTAACTTCTATAATAGAAACGGAACGGATTCAATTGTAAGGTGAAACCGTTACGTTAGACAGACGTTAACGAGAACTTGATCCGTTCCAGGGCGGGAGGAGGAGAGAAAGGCGCCTGAACCTTTCGGGTTGTCTGCTCGCGTAGTCGTGGGTGGGTGTTTATTCGGGGGTGGGGTGGGGGACGCTTTGTGTATATTTCTTCTGTAAGGGTAGTTTGTTTTGAGTCCGTTTTTTTTAGAAAGAGAGCGTTGAGGGAATTGGGTGGCGGGGCGGTGGGCGCTTTATTGATAATCAGAATATGGACTTCGTGAATCTGATTTCGTGGCGCCTTTAAGATTTGTAGATCCCCCCCCCCCTTAGCTTTCATTGATTGCAGGCCACCTCTTGAGGCCGAATTGAGGCCGAATTGCGGGTTTGGCAGTAATGACCTTTAAAAATAAAGAGGAAAAGATCATAGAGTGTGGAGGAAAGGAAAGAGGAAAAGTGGAGCGAATTCCCCCCCTTTTACCATTCTTATCTGTATCTTTTCATATAAATCCAACAGGTGAAGCCTTGCTTCCTACTACAGGACACAGTGCTAGAAAAAACTTCACCAGTTGGATTTCTGCCTCTTTGAGTTGCTTCTGATTCACAGCAACTTCTTTAAATTGGGGTCATCTGAAGGTCCTGTTGTGAACAGCCTTGCTTAAGTCCTGCAAACAGAATGGCGTGCAAGTCTTTCTCTTTTCCTGCTGCTTGTGTGTCGCTCTGTCCACCCCTCCCGGCTGTTCCTTCTCCTGTCACCTTCTGTCTGTCCTCTTCCAGGAATGGCTGACGGGTGATTTCCTCGATGCCCTGAGGGCGGTGGCAGGGCCAACCAATGTGTCTACAGCCGCAGCGGTTTGCGAGCAACATGGCCACGATGAGTCCATGCACAGGTACGGCCCAACAGCCCACTGCAACACGGAGGGCGCGTTGCAGGCGAATTCCCTCTCTACACAGTCGTCTGCCTTGTTTCAGATGGCTCTTCCCTGTTCTTGACACCGGAGAGCTGTGCTCTGGCCGTTTCCGCTTCCTGTGGCAGTCGGTCGTCTGCCTTGTTTCAGATGGCTCTTCTCTGTTCTTGATACCGGAGGGCTGTGCTCTGGCCGTTTCCGCTTCCTGTGTCACGGACATAATCCTGTCGCTGATAACTGTATGGCTAAGTTGAACTGGGTGACTCACCGTGGGGAAATTGCTGCTATGTATGGCTAAGTTATGGGTGACTCACCGTGGGGAAATTGCTGCTATCTGGCATTAGGAGACATGCCCCGATTGTGCATCAGACAGGCCCCCCTACTAATGCAACCAATGCCCTTTTTGGTTTGCATCCATGTCCTGCACTGAGTTACGCAGTGCAGTTGATGCACAAATAACATCACCAAGAGGTCAGTGTTTTTTTTTCTGTCTACATTTAAGAGCAAACCATTGCCTGAGAGGTCAATGTTTTTCCCCCCCTGTCTACATTTAAGAGCAAACCATTGCCTGAACTCACCCAAGTCTTGTCTGATCTAGGCAACCAAGTGGGTTTAAGCCTGGGTTTAATCCTTTGATGGTAGACGGGTAGGGAAATGCCAGTGATCTGCAGATGAGAGATCTCCTGAAATCCTGGAGAGGTCTTGCCGGATTATTCACGGAGAGACTTGAAGTACACACTTAGCGGCACAAACTGAGTTTGCAAGCAAAATGTAACCTGTGGGTCAGCATCCAGACCCAGAGTCAGTATCTGCTGGTTAGTTTCCCATTGTATAAAATTCCAGCTTGAGTCCTGCCCCGGAAAATCTGGGGACCCAGTTTGGATACGCAGGCTGGAGTCTGGAAGTACAGGCGTCCAACACTGTTCATTCAAATTAACAGAGTTCCGTGAACAAGAAACCAGCCATGCTGACAGAGCCACAAAGCGATCTTTCAGGCCCAAGCTTGCAAGGCTTAAATGTCCAACGATGAACATCTTCTGTGTTCATGCTGCTAGGAGAGGGATTCCAGACTTGCATGCCAGTCATAGGCCTATCCCAGTTGTAGTAGCAGCAGCAGCAACAACAACACCATGAATTGTCCTTTGTCCGCCTCCTTAGGTGCTGCCCTCCGGATGCCGTGGTCTGGCCCCAGACGGTGGAGCAGGTCAGTTTGCTGGCCAGTGCCTGCTACAGCCACGGTGCCCCCATGATTCCCTTTGGCACAGGGACGGGCTTGGAAGGTGGTGTGAGTGCCGTGCAGGTAGGGAGACTGGCGAAAGCGCCGGGGGGAAGGGTGGGCAGAGAGATGCAGCATTTCTGGAAATTTGGAAGCAATGGGAAGAAAGAGAAGAGGCTTTGGCTGTTTCAGATACACATACATGCTTTATATGCAGAGATATGTTAATATATGTCATATGCCAAGAACCCTTTATCTTTATTTAAGCCTTTCGAGGCACACTGGAATTTGTGCATGCAGTGTGTACGTCTGCTGTCTCTTTCTCGAGCCCAACTTTGTCCTTCTTTTCTTCTACAACAGTCGCTTTGAGTTTCATAACTCATGTTTATGAACGTCCTAGAAGGGTGAAGTGTTCTGAAATTGGCTTTTCTGTGTTGCGGTTCCTCATGTCTGATCCGTGTCCATTCATTCTTTTTCATGCTGTTTGTCCTACGTAGGAGCAGAGGGGGGCTGCTGGCAGAAGATGGCATAAATCCCACAAGAGGGTGGACAAGGAAATACGTCCCTGAGCTTGTGGCTGACGTTGTTAGGACCCTGCATGTTGTTGCCACTGTAGATCGGTGGACACAATGGGGAACTAGGTTTTGTGATGGGCTGTTGTTCCTGTCTCTGTCTTCAAAGTTGTGTTGCCCCTAGAACCAACCTGCAGCTGTTAATTCTCCACTGACCCCCTTCTGTGGACAGGGCGGGGTGTGCTTCAACCTGACGCAGATGGACCAAATCTTGGAGCTGAACACCGAGGATTTTACGGTCACTGTAGAACCAGGAGTGACACGGAAGGCTTTGAACCACTTTCTGCGAGGGAGCGGCCTCTGGTTTCCTGTAGGTATGGCTGGTTTGGAGACCGTTCAGGAAGGGTAGCAAGAGAGCGCCTGTGCTTAGCAAAGGGAGCCACATGGGGTGGGCAGGAAAGAGAGGCAGGCCTCCAGGCTGGCTGATATATTTGGTGTCCGCTCACTCAGAGCAGGAGGAAAGCTGGGCTGAAAGTAGGCTGGAGTACACCCAGATGTTTCCTTCCTTTCTTCCTTCCTTCCCTCCCTCCTTCCTTCCATCCTTTCTTTCTTTCTTTCTTTCTTTCTTTCTTTCTTTCTTTCTTTCTTTCTTAGCCTCCTGTCCTTTCAGGGCCAAAATTTGACACCACAGGATGGGCCCTTGTGATGTCCCAGAAGAGGACCAGCAAGAGGTGTGATGGAGACTGGAACTGCCTCTAGGACAGTTGATAGCGGAAGGTGGGACGGAGAAATCCATGTGAATGGGCTCAGAATTTGGGCAATACTTAGCTAACTGGGAGACGTAACTCGGAATCTAGGCAGCCAGCCAGATGCACTCTCTATCTCCAGAGGTTGCTGTGGCTCCATGCTAGTTGGCCCCAGCTGCCCGGGGGAGGTTTCACTACTTCACAAAGATGGTGTGGAATTGATTTGGGGCCAGGGCTTCGTGTTTCCTCCTACTAGCTATGTCTCTCTTTTTAAAAACTTCTACAGACCCTGGAGCGGATGCTTCTCTCTGTGGCATGGCAGCCACCTCTGCTTCCGGCACAAATGCGGTGCGCTACGGCACCATGCGCCACAATGTGCTCAATCTGCAGGTGGTGCTGCCTGATGGGAAGGTGCTCCACACCGGCGGGCAGAATCGGAGACCCAGGTGCGGCGCTAGCTAAGGGCGGCTGCTTCCAAACTTTGCCCCCGAGAATCCCAGGGAGATTTCCCTTTAGAGGTTTATCTCTGGGATTGTCCTTGATCTCTCCTGCGTTGTGCAGAGAGCGGGCATGTCATTCAGGTTAGTTCGAAGAGAACAACAATGAGGCCGCGCAAGGCTTGGCTGGTGTCCCCAGAGTGCTGAATGGACACCAAACAACAGCAACAACACAAAAAAAGCCCACAACGTAGCAAAGCAAAAAGCCTGGCAATATCTTGGGATCTCTTGAAAGTTGCATGAAAAGATTCTCGAAGACATTGAAAAACCACTGTTCTCATGGAATTGTGTGTCATTATTGTGTTCTGATTACCCAACGGTCCTGCCGTGATTGGTAAAAACATCAAGATCAAAGGTATGACGTTTGAACAAAGTCATCAGCACACGATGTGATTTATAACACTGGTTGGTAGTTCGAAACTGTGGGGGTCCATCACACCTGACAGCTTGATGGAACGATGCAGATGTTACCTGCTATAGTGCAGGTAAAGTATGAACACGTACCGTATTTTTCCATGTATAAAAGAACACTTTTTTCTAAAATAATTAGAGGAAAAATTGAGGGTTGTTTTATACATGGAAGTAAGAGGGGAGGAGGGATCAAAGCACTTTGATCCCTGCTTTCTCCCTCCACATTTTGCAAAGAAAGTGAAGGGGGAAAGCAACTCCTCCTTTTCCCCTCCACTTTCATTACAAAAAGCTGCTTTCCCCCTCCACTTTTTTTTTGCAAAAAGCTGCTTCCCCCCTCCACTTTCTTTTTGCAAAGAAAGTGGAGGGGGGAAAGCAGGAATCAACGCGCTTTGATCCCTGCCTTCCCCCTCCACTTTCTTGCAATGAAAGAAATGTTGGTTTAGAAAAGTAGGGTTGTCTTATACATGGAAAAATATGGTGTTTTCCTCTCACTCTCTAATTCCCTTGTGCGTGTTTGTGCGTACAGAGACACACACACGATGAGCAGGAGGTCTGCATAGGTCCTGCTAGGAAGGACAATTCGTAAGGAGGATGATTTTTCCGGTATCAGCATAAAAAGCTGCTCAAACAGGATGCTGCTTGGCTTCTCACAAGGTGGCCATCTTGATTTGCAGGAAGAGCGCCGCAGGCTACAACCTAACCGGGCTGTTCATAGGCTCAGAGGGGACGTTAGGCTTCATCACCCAGGCCACCGTGCGTCTCCACGGCATCCCAGAGGCCACCGTGGCTGCTGTCTGTGGCTTCCCTAGCGTGCAGGCAGCCGTGGACAGCACCGTGCAGATCCTTCAGGCGTCCATCCCCATTGCTCGGATTGGTAAGTGGGGATCGGATCTTTCCAGGGTCCAGGGGTAGGAGAAATTGCACGGCTAGTAAAGTTTTGTTTTGCTTTTGAATGGGATCCTTCTTCCCCCTTGGCTTCTGCCTCAAGCGCCTGGTTAAGTGAGACCCTGTGGAGCCTGATTGATAATTTCAGGCGGTGGCAAACATTTTGAATTCTACAAAGCCTGGGCTTCGGCGCTTCTGCAAAAGTCAGCCAAAATGGTATTTCCTCCAGCTTCAGGTGTAGAGTTTAACTGTTTCTTTAAATGTATAACATTGTGTTTTTAATTCTGTTTTTCTTAATACTGAGAGCTGCCTTGAGTTCCCTTATCAGGACAAAGGCAGCCTATAAAACAGACGGACCGCTCAGAGTGGCCAATTGCTGCGAGTTACCAGTTTGATTCCTAGCTGAGTTTCAAGTCGTCCCACCAGCGTGCAACTAGGGGTTTCCGACGGAGACTCTTTGTGCGTTTATCTTTTGCTCCAAGTGGCGCCAGTGCATTTCTGCCGGTGTAAACGTTGAGTTCAGCTCCAGTCACTGTCCTGCGGATTTCCTCTCAAGTATCTTACAAGTGTTCTATAGAATGACACCCCGTGTTGCTGGTACTTGGCTTAGCAGGACTTTGGGCGTGCTCCGTGTTTTCTGTCCTGACATGTTACTGTGGCACCCTGCCCTTCTCTCTCTCCCCCCCNGGACGAAGTCATGATGCGGGCCTGTAACCGCTACAGTGGTCTGAGCTACACCGAACAGCCCACCCTCTTCCTGGAATTCCACGGCAGCCAGCGGGGCGTCGGCGAGCAGGTGGAAGCCACGGGTAGGTGCTCCGGATGAAACGCACAAAGCCAGCCAGACAAAGTGTGCCCTCTGGCATGGCCCTGTGCTCTTGGGCTGGTTGCAGAAGCAGGGGGGGTCTTGACGTGCAACTCCCTCCCCAGGGGAGATTGTGAAGTCCAACGACGGCTCCGAGTTTGCCTGGGCGCAGGAGCAGGAGGATCGCGCTCGGCTCTGGACGGCCCGGCACAACGCCTGGTACGCAGCGCTGGCCCTTCGCCCTGGCAGAAAAGTAAGTCGGAGACCAGGAAGGGCAAACTACAATGGGTCGTTTTGCCCACTCGAAGCATATATATTTCCTTGGCAGATTGGCTTGCATGCTTGAGTTACCTAGAATGCCCTCCATTGGGCTTCGCTTCCCCTTCTTTTTACATTAGGAAACCCACCCACCCCGTATCAGTGGGCGATGGGTTGCAAACCCTCCTGCAGATGCTGAAAAATGTGGATTATGGTGAACGCTAGCAAAAGCTAGACAATAGCATATCTCTGGCTCCCTATAGTGGCCACTTCTGGTAACCATATTCAGAATTTCTCTCCTGCTATTGCAGTGTCATGTTACCGTATTACCCTGCCCTAACTTTTAATTAATTTTTCTTTTAATATTTGCAAACTGGGGGTAAGTGAATCAGCAGACACCGGATACAGAGATCCTACTGTATTGCATTCCCTGTTCTGACCCCAGCTTTGATTCTGTTTTTTTGCACTTTAGGCACTTGTCTGTCTTCTTTATAAAGAATGCTTGGATTATTTGGAGACAGTTAGAGAGGAAAACATGGTCCTGAGTTGGCAACTAAAACTAGCAGTGGCACAGTACAGACCATTTTAATTTCCTCCTCTGGCCGCAGTGCGGCCTGCGCAGTGTGGCCTGTATTGTGCAGGGACTGATGAACAGTGCACATTAGACAGAGCGACTCATTTGGAAATTACTCAATTACAGTTGAGAATCTTCTTTGGCTTCTTTCCACTTCTTCAGATTTGTTCTCTGCTAGCTGTCACCACCATTCTTGTTACTGCTTCACTTCCAGGCTGGGAGGAAGATATATGCCAAACACCCCACCCGCCCGTAGGTTCACAATGCTCTCTTCTACCTCTGATGTCACCCCCACATCCCCTTTTGGTGTGCAGGGCTACTCCACTGACGTCTGCGTCCCGATCTCTCACCTGCCAGAGGTGCTGCTGGAAACAAAGAAGGACTTGCTCGAGTCCCAGCTCACAGGTGGGTGCTAGGATAACATGAGGGTTTGGCTGTTCGATTTGGGCCATGAAGGCTCAGGTTTGAAGCCCCGATCCCTCCGAAGCTGGTTGGGTGGCCTTGGGCCAGTTGCACAGACTCTTTCTCTCACCATTAACAACCTCGGTGCTGTGGTGGGTTGTTTGGCCAACCTCTTTGTCAGCGGCCCAGCCATGGAACTCCTTGACACAAAAATCAGGCAGGGTGGCCAAATGTGGCTTGGGTTTGCTCGTGGCCAGCTGGGACCCATTGGGTGTTCCGAATTAGAACGCCTGTCGTCGGCAGATAGCTGGCTGATGGATTATGGGAGTTGTAGTTGGAGGATAATAAGTTAGACAGGAGTCTTGCCTTGCCTTGTATCCCCAGGTCCCATCGTTGGTCACGTTGGAGACGGAAACTTCCATTGCCTCTTGTTGCATGATCCTGAAGACGCGGATGAGAAAGGGAGGGTGGAGGAGTTTGCCAAGCGGCTGGGCAGGTAGGCCTGTGGTTGCCTCCCACCGGCCAGGGCCGGTGTTCTGCATGTGCCCAGGGTGGCCCCGCAGAGGCCAGAGGTGTCCAAGAAAGGCTGAACCTGGCCTGATCCTTACTTCCCAGTGAAGAGCATCACAAGGGAGGAGATACAAGGAGAGTGAAAGAACTTGTCAGACCAGGAAGGGAGGTAGTGGCTCTTTTCTTTTGCAAGATGGTATGTGTGTACGTCACTCATTTTCTGTCCAGCAGACAGAGCTTGGGACAGTGGCTGGCATCCTATCGCAGATTTACGCCAGTGGAAGTGCAGAGGTGTAAACTGCAGGGATTAAACGGCCACTAATTAATGAGTTGCCGCTAGCATTCCCCGCTGAGCACCACGTCACGATTAGTACGACAAGCAACATTCATTCATTAGTGCCCATTTGCTCCCCTGGCGTTCTGCCAAACTGCACCAACATAAATCTGTGACAGGATTCTGGCAATGGGACTCAAAACCTATGATTTGCTGCTTGCTTTTTACTTTCCCATAAGAAAACTATTGTGCATTGCTTGGAAAGTAAGGCACTCGATACACCAACAAGTGTAATTTTCTGTGCTTGTGTGTTCAGTTGTGGAGAAGGGGGTTGTGTGTTACTGAAAGGTGAATACTGGGCCATCCAGGCTTCTGGTTGGGGGGGGGAATTTTGTGGGCAGGAGAATCAGCAGCCCATGGCATCAACCCGAGGGGGTCACAATGGACCCCTCTCAGGTGCTCATCTTTCACAGAGGCCTTTGGGCTGTCCCCCACTGGAAGCAGACTGCTAGGGAAGATGGATGCAGGGTTTTCTTTAGCCCTTGTCTGTTTTTCTCCCCAGGCGTGCCCTGGCGGTGGGTGGCACGTGCACGGGCGAACACGGGATAGGCCTCGGAAAGCGCCAGCTTTTGCGTGAGGAAGTGGGCGAGGTGGCACTTTCCACGATGCAGCAGATCAAGGCGGCGCTCGACCCGAAGAATCTCATGAACCCGGGAAAGGTGTTGTGAGAGCTTGAGGGGGTCTGGCTGTCCATTCCCCCCCCCGCCTGAAAAACAAGTGTTCCTCTGTGGCCAGTAGCAACCGTTCCCGATGCAACACTCCCAACACAAAGGGGAAAAAATGGTCGGCTCTGGGTTTGAGGGCTGTGACAGGGGCAGAAATTAAACCAAGATGGCGCTGGCATCATTTCCCTGTCTCAAGAAACACGGAGACTTTCAAAATGATGGTCTTGGGTAGAACTGGCACGGTCTTGTGTGAAGTGTGAAGGGCGTGACAACCCGTGTCCTGACTTGCATTCCGAACCTGTGTTGCTATAAGGAGCTCGAATAAACCGTGAATTTGCATGGGGAGAGCTAGAGCTGTTTGCGCCAGTAGCATCCCGATGCAACACTCCCAACACAAAGGGGAAAAACTGGTCGGCTCTGGGTTCGAGGGCTGTGACAGGGCCAGCAATTAAACATGGGGCTCTGCTGTTCTCTGAAAGGACAATGGTCGGCTCTGGGTTTGAGGGCTGTGACAGGGGCAGAAATTAAACCAAGATGGCGCTGGCATCATTTCCCTGTCTCAAGAAACACGGAGACTTTCAAAATGATGGTCTTGGGTAGAACTGGCCCCACTAGGTCCACCTGTCTGGCTTCCTCGAGGAAAGCGCTGGATCTTTAAGAGACTTTCAAAATGATGGTCTTGGGTAGAACTGGCACGGCCTTGTGTGAAGTGTGAAGGGCGTGACAACCCCTGTCCTGACTTGCATTACGAACCTGAGTTGCTACAAGGAGCTCAAATAAACCGCGAATTTGCGTGGGGAGAGCTAGAGCTGTTTGCATTGATGTAGAATCCAAGCGTCAGGGTGTTGGAAGGGGCCTCTAACCCCCTGCTCAGGGCAGGAATCCAAATCGAAGTGGGTCGTCTTTATATTCTCTGGAAGGCCTCCAGTGTTGGAGCGCTCACCACCTCCTCCCGAGGTCATAGGTTCCGTTCTCGTACTGCTCTAACAGTTAAGAAGTTTTTCCTGATAGCCAGCCTAAACTTTCCTTCTTGTCGCTTCAGCCCATTATAGATGGTGGAGGACTTGGGCTTCCATTATATGGCAGTTTTTGAAACAATGGAAATAAAACTTGACTTCATTGGCTTTGCCCAAGAACAGCCGGAGGGATCAGCCCCACCCTGAGGGCGGAGGTGTTTTCTTCTTTAAAATCCTTCAGCTTCCTTTCAGGTCTCAGCTTTTCTCCCTCTTGAGAGCAGAAGTGATTGATCATCTGGACAGGAAGATATAAGGATGCAGGGGCTCCCAACAGTGGTTCAGGGGGAAGGTCCTTCTCACACTTTCCCAGCCGGTACATCTTTGGGAATCTCTCTTTTTTTGGAAGACGGGTTGAATCTGCTCAGAGGCTTTTGAAAGCCCAGCTGGAACCAGCCTGCCTTCGGGCTTAGCCTGCTCGCCTGCTGAATCACTGATGCCTTTGCCATCGGCCAGACTCTTCTCTATAAACAGCAGAGGGAAAAGGTGCTCATTTAAAGCCACGGCAGAGCATTGGGTGGGACAGGTTGGCAGAGAAATACAGAAGAGACTGACCACAGACCAAGAAGTCATCCGACACAGGAGATGCAGGAAGCTGAAATTTTTTTGACCCCGTCGTGTTAAAGCTAATCGTTCCAGGCAACATGAATGGGAAAAGATTCGCCAGAAAGTGTATAGCAGAATACTCATGGCGACCTCCAGCATCTAATCATTTAATCATCACCATCATCCCGTGCCATGACATCAGTGCTCCGTCCACATGACTCACCTGCTCACGTTACCTAGGAAGAGGACAGTTTCGGGGTTGGGGGGGAGAAGACATCCCTTAATTCTCCTGTGGTTCCTCCATTTTCCTTGAGTTGGGAGGAAAAAAAAAGGTGTTTCATTTCCAGTGTCTGAAAATCTGTCGTGTTACCTGATCTGTGAAACGGATGCTAAAATTACAGCCGGGGAGGGGCCACTTCTGGCCAAAGAGAAACAGACAGGGAAAAGAAAAGGGGGTTGGAAGCCACCATCTGTGGTCACAGAGAGTGCCAGCTACACCAGGAAAATGCAGCTTTTCAGCCCTTAGGGCTGCAAACAACGCCTCGGAGATGGGTGGGTTGCCTCTTCTTCAGCCTTCCCGAACCAGGTGCCTTGTAAACAAGACCTTCCACATTTGGGAGGGTAGTTCTGTGGCTCCAGGGATCACTCCCCCCCCTTCCTTCTCTCCTCCACTGATAAACAGCACCAACAGCAGAATTGAGAAAGACAGGCCATAGGCATGGCTTTCTGCAGATCTGGGTTTTTCTTTTTTAATAACAATATAAAAATAAAACCATGGAACAACAAAAGCCCCCCCCCCAACCGTGATGGAGAGAAGCACGAGGCCACCCCCAAAACAGTAGCAGGCAGATTTTGAAATTCAGCTCACATCTCTGGTGTTCCTGGCCCTCGGTGCCTTCTTTGGGAACTTCCAGATGAATGGAACTAAAAGAAAAACGGGCGCAACTCAAAGAAAACACACTGCGGTTGCTAGCTCATGGTGCACATAAGTGTAAATATTAGCTGTAATTTCTGAGCCGCGATAGTCAGATCCCTTCGCTCCGCTTCTTTCTGCTGGCCCACCTCGTAACACCGACTCTCACCCACCACCCTGGCAAGCTTGAGATCCCTCTAGAATTCCCAACTTTTTCCAAGTCACAACCCCCTTTTATATACACCCAAGCAACCTGTGACCCACTTTTATGTTTGCATAAAAAAGGCCATTTTAATGGGCTAAAGTCATCCCTTCTCAGAATGTAGAGGCGTCTTTCTCTCCCCAGAAGGACCTGATTCTCATGCACACACATACATGCTCAGTTTAACATCTGGCTCCAAAAAGTCCAGACGGACCTGATTCTCATGCACACACATACACGCTCAGTTTAACATCTGGCTCCAAAAAGTCAAGGAAGAAACGATTAAACAAGGGTTAAAAAAAAAACATATAAGCCGACCCACAACTGCCCCCTTCAGAAAACACTTTGTGCCCCCTTTGGGAGGGGGGTGGATCCCGACCCCCAGATTGGGAAACACTTCTCTAAATCTTAAGCACCACGAGGTTTATCCAGTGACCCACCTCAGCTCACCCACATTATTTAGGGAGGAACTACATTGACAAATAATGTGGGAGACGCTCCAGGACAAAAATGGTTAAATTCACATTATTTCCCATGGACTACATAACATAAAAGTCAATGCCAATCAGCCTAGAGTTCCGCCCCATTCTTGAATCTGTGCTTTCCCCTTCTGCTGTTGGGGCTTCTACTTTTCTGGAATTGAGTGCCTCCGCATTGATTCAAGCAGTGTGATTGTGTGCATCGATGTACCGGAGTCTATAGCCATTGTATTCAAAGCCATTTCATCCGAGTACAACAGCAGTGAGAAACACAAGGCAGAAGAGCAACTTGCTACCACTTGAATCCTCTCCTCCTCAGACCTGATGCCTGGATCTGTTTCCATTATCCCATCCCCTTCAGTTTTCTTTCTCTCTCCCCCCACTCACCCCCATTCATTTAAAGGCTTGCTGTTTAGCACTAGGACAGCTGACAGACCAAAGGGCGGGGGGGGGGGAAGAGTGAGGAATTGGGAGAGAGCGGAGGAAGTTTTAAACAAGCTCTGCTCTGGCCGTCCAAATGCAAGAAGCACAGTAAGAGCAGAGCTGTGTTAAAACTTCCTCCTTTCTCCCCCCTTTGGACAGCCAGCTGCCTTAACACTAGGAAATAAAATAAAATAAAGGAAATCAAAGGGGAAAGGAAAACGAAATCAGACCAATCTGTGCACCACCAGGGCAAAAATCGCAGTATATAACTTGAGAAATAAGCACAGAGAATCTCCGATATACCCTTATACGCTGTGGATAGAGAAGCTGCTGTTCCCACCCACCCTCCATTTTCCAAGCAAGCTGCAGGACAACTTAAAAACACCACTGGGATAAAATAACAGTGACTATTTTATTGAACATTATTTAATACCATATCAAAACACCTTGACTAATAGGGGAAGCTTCCCTTCCCAAGTGTTTAATGTATTTCCCCCACCCCACCCCCTCTAATTTTTTTTTGAAGTTCTTTGTTTCACTATATAAATACAGATAACCTTTCCAGCTGGATGAAAGCTACCTGCTGGGGCATTTCCCCATAGCTGAGACGGCCGCCACTTCGTGCTCAAAGATACGTGTGTGTGTGTGTGTATGTGTGTGTGTTTTTTTAAGAAAAACCGCTGTTGATTTTCCACGCAGGGCTGAGAAAGTTCCAGGCATCGTAGCAGGACACTTGTGAATGGCGGCAAGAAGCCCTTCCAAACGCCTCCGAAGCCGCCCCAGTGTGGGGAGTCCAAACCCAGACTAGGAGGAAGGAAAGGGTGGGGCGGGGTGGGGTGGGTGTCTTTTGGCAATGAGGTGGGGATTGTCCCCGGGGCCAGATGTGGAAGGGGAGGGGGCCAGGAGAAAGGTCTCGGGGTCCTCCAGCCTCATGGAGTGCTGGGAAGCCAAGCGGATGGCAGTCTTGTAAACATCACCAGGCACACACATCAGTCAACACAAGATGGCTGTTTTGTTTTGTAAACACTTGAAAAGACAAACCTACGACGCCTTCCAAAAAGAAAAGTGACAGAAAAGGACCTTCCCTCCTCAGGATGCTGGGGGGCACCTGACAGAAGTCCTCCTCCTGTAATCCCCCCCCCCAAATTCGGGGCAAAGAATTGGAGAGGAAAAACAAACCCCCTCACACACGTGGTCAGTGCAAAAGGGTGACCCGTGTGTCGCAGGAGGGCGCCGGATCCTGGCCGAAGGGCGGTGGCCGTCATGCTCCGTTTGGCTCGTGGCCCGGTCTGGCCCACACAAACATCATGGCGCTGCTGGGGAGAGGCTGGCCGCCCGTCCTTGCACCCAACACTCCTCTCTCTCTCTCTCTCTCTCTCTCTCTGGATCCAGGCTGCTGGCCACCCAGGTACAGCTCAAAAGGCAGCAACTTCACCGATGGGGTGTGTGTGTGTGTTGTTGTTGTTTTCCTGTCCACCCAACTGCCGTCCCCTTTGCACTGTCATCCCAGTGGGTTCCAGAGCCCGTTTGGAGGAGGTTGGAGGTGGGAAGGATGATGGGCGGGGCGACCTGGCGAGAGAAAAGCAGCATCAGGGGTTCAGAGGTACCTGGGGAGGGTTGGTACGATTGCATCAGTGAATACTGGACCGTTCTCAGCTTTGACCCCATGCCCGCCCCCCCCATCCACCCACAGTCAGGGCCTTGCGTGGCAGCCCTCGTGCTCTGTGTGAACTCTGCGTAGCAAACACGAGGGTCCAAGACAAGAAAAAAAACACTTGTTTTCGGGGCTGTGCGTGCAGGAAGAGTCGCTTGTATGGTCGGACTTGGCGCCGAGTGGTTTGCAAATCTATCCCCTACATCTGAGCAGAGAAACTGACTGAAGGTTCAGAGTCTGGACAAATTCCAGCCAGGGGCATTCACAAGAGTTTCATTCGAGTTTGCAGCTTGTAGCAAACAAGTCAGATTCACTCACTGCAAAGCTGTCCAGACACCATTTTTGGCCATTTTGGTGTCTGTTAAGTAAATGACATCTTTCTCTTTCTCGCTGTACAATATAAATTTTTAAAAATGGCTTTTGAATTTGCCTGCTTGGCAAACAATGCCTTAGGAGCAGTTGGTTTTTCTCTTTCCATGTTTGTTGACTAGAGATGGGCATGAATCACCGGTTCGGAAGTTCGTGCTGGTGTGTTTACCGGCTGAATGAATGTTGAGGGCTTTAAAGCCCCGCCTCCTCCAGGAGACACCCACTCAGAGGCAGCAGCCTGGCTTCCCTGCCCCGCCTCCTCCAGGCTCTGCCTCTGAGTGGGTGCCTTGAGGGAGGAGGCGGGGCTCTGACGCGCCAAACGCCTGTTCGGCCGATAAACGAACCGACACGAACCACCAAACTGACAATTCGTGCCTGTATTGGTGAACGTTTTCTTTGATACAGTTTGTATATAATCCTGCCTAATATGACTGAAATGAATGAATGGCAGATGGCTGGATAGCTCAGTGGTTGACGTATCTGGCTGTGAAGCCAGAAGTTGAGAGTTCAGTCCTCCACAGTGCATGCCGGAAGAGCCAGTCTGGGTGGCCTTGGGCCAGCTGCACTGTTCGAGGATGCCCCCAGGAGAAGAGAATGAGAAACCCCTTCTGAGTATTCCCTACCTGGAAACCCCCAAGGTGTGTGTGTGTGTTTTAAGTGCAAATCAGCAATTTCTAACCTTAGGAGAGGCCCGCAAGCATTGCTGGGGTCAATCGGAGGGGTGCTCCGGGCAGGATCTGTTCACTTCAAACCAGGAATCTATACAACTGCAGAAGAGATTGGGGGGGGGGGGTTGTCAGAAAAGCATCCTTTCTTATGGACCTTGTGACGGTTGGACCAAGCACTTTTGCATGGGATCCCCACCCCCCCTGAGACCGAGTCCAAGCACCTTTTGCATAGGATCCCCACCCCCCTGAGACCGAGTCCCTGTCGCAGCCCAACAAGGAAAAGCAGATGATGGACGGCCTCACCGTAGTCACCCAGTGGGAGGATGACAGGGAGGAAGGAGGAGCAACTGGGGAGCCCCGGAGCTTTCTGGGGAGCCTCAGGCAAGGCAAGGCTGCCTGCGTTTCATGAATTTCCCCCGGGCAGGTATCTTTCCCCGGCGCTCACCTTTTGTGATAAATGCACAGGCAGGGAAGCCGGGCTATCGTGTCTCCTTGCAGGAGCTCCTCCAGACAGATGACACACTCGCCCGCATCCTTGGTTAGCACGTCGTCTGCAGGAAAAGAGGGAAGGAAAGGCAGAAATGAATGCCCCTTCTCTCTCTCTCTCTCTCTCTCTCACACACACACACACACACACACACACACACACACACACACACACACACACACACACACACACACACACACACACAGTCACACCCAATGGCTACTTTTTCCCAAGGGTTCCCTACTTAGGATCCGTGTTCCAGCCCAACAGCCAACTTGCCCTTTTTTGGAAACCGTTCCCTGCTTGCCTGTTGACAAGGAGGGATAAGCCACCAGCTGGTATAAAACTCCATCTCTCTTGTGGCTATGGGCTCTCACGTTGTCTCAGGCTCATGGTAACCCTAGGAGTAAGCAACCTTTGAATGCTCCTTTCATCCACAGCCCTGCTCAGCTCTTGCCAACTCAAGGCGGTGGCTTCCTTGATTGAGTTGACCCATCTCCCATGTCGTCTCCCTCTTTTCCTCCTGCTTTAGCCTTTCCCCCAGCCTTATTGGCTTTGGAGTGGGTCTGTCTTCTCGTCCCTCAAGTAGGAAAGCATCCATTTTCATCATTGGGAGGGGGCTATAACCTGACCTAAAACAAGCATGGGTAGACAAGATGATTGGGGAGGGAGGACCCCAAAGCAGCAGAAACAGATGTGGAAAGGGGCAGAAGGGGGAGGGAGGGAGGTGAAGTTAATTGGGGAAGGTATCAGTGGAGTTTATTAAGGTCTGGTGGTGAGGGCAATGTATAATTCATTATTTCTCAGCTCTCCGTTCTCTGAGGTGGCCACATCCACCTGAAGGACAAGCCAGCTTTGACCTGTGGTGAGGGTTTATTTTTATGCCGCCTATATTTGTTTTTCACTCCTCCTGATTCTCCTCTCCCATCCGGCCAAACCAACAAGGCTGGAGGGGATCCTTAGCGTGGCCCACCTTCAGCTGAGAGAACGAAGGTCACCCCCTGAAGCACCAGCTTTTGATTCTAGATGCAGGTTTTGCCAACGCAAAAATGAATCATAGCCGGCATTCCCGAGGATGGGCAATATGGATCCTGCGTGCCACGACAAGAGTTACGTGCAGATCCGTGAAGTTGAGGAAACAGTTCAGCGAGTTAGGGGGAAAAAAGCCAGCAAATTGACTTTAAGATCTCTAATGGGATGAAATGTTAACAAGTGATGTGACATGGGCCACGGAGGTCAACACAGAGACGTTTCAAAGGAAACCTCCCAGCCGCCTCCAGCCTCTTTCTGCCTGGAAGCAATAGGAGAAGGTCAGACTGTAAGAGAGGAAGCTGCAAAGGTCACCCAACTGAGTTGTGGATGAGCTGGCCAAACTGCTGGGGGGGGGACGATTTTGTCTTGAAAACTCTCCCTCCGGACCTGACACCAGCCGGGCAGGAGCAGAGCGGGTCACGGGTCACACAGATCAATGGAGCAGAAGAGAGTTGAAAGGAAGCACAGAAGGTGATGGGAAGGAAGGAGGGAGAGCAGGCGATGCCGCTCGGATTCACTCCTGCAATCCCTCCTCTGCCGCACAAGCGGAGGAATGAAGGGGGTGGGTGGCGGAGCCGTCTGCCAGGCGTGCTTGGCAGGGAGGCCCGGCTGTGATGCAGAACCAGGGCCGGCTCCCCCCCCCGCCCCCTCTTCCTGACCTGATTTCCAGCTCTCCAGCCTCGGGAGCTGCCTGGCGCCGTCTCTGCCAGCCGGCCAGCCTGGGCGGATCCCGGCTGACCTCGGGGACGGACGCTGGGGGACGGAGGCAGCGTGGCACCGACAGCTGGAGTGGGTATCTCCTGGCCCATTGGGCCCCTTGTTGCTGGGGTGGGCACAGCCACTCCTCGGTGGTGGTGGTGGTGGGGAAGAGAGAGAGAGAGAGAAGGCAGCCCCTTGCCAAGCTTCTCCCTGGGAAGGACCCAGTCCAGTAAGGGCAGCAGCGCTGGCTAAAGCCGCCACCCTGAGCCAGGCAGAAAGTAATCCAACTCCGGGCATAAGACTGAACCAGGAATGAGTGGATTTGGGGCTAGGTCAGAAAAAGGGGGACACGTGTGCACGCACACAGGGTCTCTCCACACAGGCAGTTCCTTTCCACACCGGAAGGCCCTGATCCCCACCACACAAGGAGAGCAGCTCTTACTGCCTAGCGGGCACACAACCCACCATGCCAGGGTGCAACCTTGCATGCAGGACAGAATCTATTGTTCTGGAAAATAAAGAAATGCAAGCAATTCTGCACAATTATCCCTGCCCCCCCCCACCTTTCCCATTTTGGTGGGCATGCCTCCCGCCGCCTCAGAATGGCCAAGGACACGGATGTGTTTCAGGCCATTTGGATCAGTTCTTTCGGCCACAGAACGTCACTGGATTCTGTGGTGCCACGGACACAACCCAGCGGTGCCGGTGGAACCGGCAGAAGCCCAGACTGGAAGGCGAGGGCGTCGCATGCGAATACCCGGTGGGTATAGTCGACGCAAAAGACAATGAGGAAAGCGACCCGGCTCAGACCCTCGCTGGCCACCAACCAGCCAGACCGCACGGCTTCTTGGAGGGGCCTCACTTACCGTTGTAGGAGAGGCGAGGTTTGCTCAGACACATGATAAAGTGCATCTCCATTTCGTCGGAAGCCACAGATTTGGAGCAGATGGGGCACTTGAAACCTGGGAAGGAGGGCAGAGGGGAGGGCAGATCGGTTACACAGGGAGACCTGACGTGGCACCAGTGGGAACAAAAATGGGGGAAAGATGTCATCGAAACTGGAATACACCGCAGGACCCCCCCGTGGAGGCTGGAAAACGCAGATGATAGCAAACGCTATTTTACAGGCAAACACCATCCATAGCATGCTCTCTGGATCCCCCTAGTTCCCAGTTTTGCTAACTTCACCTTCAGAAATATATATTTCCTGGAATGTTTAATATTTTCAGACCGTGGATAAGTGGGTCAGCAGATAAGGGGATCCAACAGCACTATTACACCTACAGGTATTCACTGACAGCTCTTGGCCACTTTTGGTGAACAGTCCCATAGGAAGGCCTGAAAATGGTAGTAAGTATGATCACCTGCATTTTTTTAAAAGAAAAATTTGCAATGGTACACTACAGTACTAAAGAGATTCTCTGGAAGAAACGACAACTGTTCAGTTGGTATGCAAACATTATAAACATCATGAAAGGTTACAGCCTTCTATCCTGAGATTTTTCAGCACTGGGAACAGAACTGTGAAAGGCAGCGTGAGAAAGAACAGGTGGGGAAAGAATGCATTGCAGTACAGTGTTCGCAATAATTGCGTCGGCAAACCCTGCCCTGCTGGCAAGGGGCAGAGAAGAAGCCGTCTGAGGCCAGAGTTATCTGTGTGCTAAGCTCATGTCCCCCCACGGGACCCCAAGCAACTGTAGCCCCCGTGCAGGAAGAAACAATATAATTCTCTCTGTGGACAACCACCCAGGTTGCCAGCCTCTGTCCCACAAGAGTGGGACTGCTTTCTCCAGAAATGTTTCTAGTCCTTAAGGTTTCCCCCTGTTCCAAAGCAGAATATTATCCCAAAGAACATATTATCCCTATGTTAGAGGAAACGACCGTCAGAAAGGAGTGGATGACCAAAGATTTAGAACCGCATCCTTTAAAACTTTATAAAAACATTTGCACACTCATGTATGAATGCAGAAGTGCGGCGCGTAGCTGGCATCTGCTCATGCGGATACCGTTTAGCACTCTTGGGAGGGAGAGCAGTGAGAACACAAACTCTTAATATGAATGCAGAGACATCACGGTTTCCTTTAGCGCTCTTATACATCAGACACATAGAATGTTGCAGAGTTTTGAAAACAAATTTGTTAAAATTCCTCTAGCTGTGCAGCAAAAGTGCAAGCTTTTATACATCAGACACATACAATGTTGCAGAGTTTTGAAAACAAATTTTTTAAAATTCCTCTAGCTGTGCAGCAAAACTGCAGGGACTCACAGACCAAGTTTCCCCAGAGCAGACCACCCCCTCTTCTCTCTTCAACTGCCACTTACAGCCTCAGTAATGTACTCTGAGGCATTGGTAAAAGAAAGAATAAAAAGGATTAATTTACTTACAACTGAACAGATCAAAAAGCATTCTGAACAAACATGACTGCTGACAGCAACGGGTCTCAATCAGACTAATTGCTGACTCCTTCCAGCAAGTGACCCAGATTACACTAACGGTCGGCAGACTAAAAGAGAGGGGGAAAGAGCAGAGAGGCGGGACTCTCTTTGAAATCAGAGGCAGGAACCATTGGTTACTGTTGGATTGATTGACAGCTACAGCAGCCCAGAAAGATCTCTCCTAAACCACTCCTGCCAGAGGCAGCATGCGAGGCTGTATCAACTCCAACATATTTGGATTGACTGGCAGTTACATCAGCCCAGAAAGAGCTCTCCTAAACCACTCCTGCCAGAGGTGGCATGCGAGGCTGTATCAACTCCAACATATAATATAGCAAAAGGGACACTGGACACAGAGGCCTCCCTGAATTTCTTGTGTCTGCTCTTTATTACAGAACCACCATCATCATAATGGAATAATCGAGTCTGAAGGGGCCTCTAAGGCCATCGAGTCCAACCCCCTGCCCAAGACAGGAATTCAAATCAAAGCAGATCGGACAGCAGAGGGTGGTCTTAATATTCCCTTGAAGGCCTCCCGCGTTGGAGGGCTCCCCACCTCCTGAGGGCATGGGTTCCATCGTCGTACTGCTCTAACAGGTAAGAGGTTTTTCCTGATATTCAGCCTAAATCTGGCTTCCTGTCGCTTGAGCACTCTGGGAGGGTCGAGAACAGATCCTGCCCCCCCTCCTCTGTAGGACAGCCCTTCGCGTCTTTGAAAAGGTCTCCCCTGTCTCTCCCCTCTGTCTTTTTTTTCTGAGGCGAAAGATGCCTTTTGTTCATCACTATAAAGACAGAACGGTTGTCCAACCTCAGGTGGGGCCAACATCAAATGTACCATATTTTTTGCTCCATAAGATGCACCTTTCCATAAAACGCACCAATTTTTTAGGAGAAGAAAACAGGAAAATATAATCTGTTTTCTTCGCTCCATAAGACGCACAGACTTTCCACCCCCGTTTTGTGGGGAAAAAGTGCGTCTTATGGTGCGAAAAATACGGTAGCTGAGAAGCCACACATTGCCAGGGTGTGTTTAAGAGGCTCACACAGACCCTGGGAGCCCTTGGCAGAGTTAAAGAACAAGTTAAGTAGAGCGGCTGATGCCTCCATGGCATCAGACCTTAAACAAAACCTTGGCTGTGAGAAGCTCCCAAGCTGAACGGCCATCGATTACAATCAGCTAGGCTCTGAAATCAGCACAAAAACTTTGTGGCTGCGACTCAGAACCACAAGCAGCCTGCCTCCGGAGCATCCCACCTTGCCGAGCGGAAAAGGTTCAAGTTGCCCAGATCGCCAGCCCAAGAAGGGAACGGCCAGGCAGGCTCCCCAGACGCTCGAGATCTCTCCCTCTTATGGGAGTCAAAGGACAAGACTAGAAACCGCTTGAGGAGCCTGTCAGTCACAGGCACCACCGTGGAGGGAGCGGCTTCTGTGGCCTGACACTCGGACCAGCAAATGTTTGCCTCTGCGTGGGATCCACGCCGCTCTCCGGGGCCGTTTCCTGGGCACCAAATAAGCAAGCAGGCCTGGCTGACCTCTCGGAGGCAGCTGCTAAGTTTACCCAAGAACCTGGCCGCTGGAGAAAATATGGTAAATAACAGCACTATAAAGAACAAAGCAACTTTGGCCTTGGGGCTCTGCTTGCTTAAAAAAGAAAAGAGGCCACTAACGGTTGTGTCAGTGGGTTTTCATTCCCAGGAGATGCCCGGCTCAGGCTTTGCCTGCTGAGCAACCCTCACCCTCGATGCGGGAGCGCACAGCCTCCAGCCTCTGGAAATGGGTTGACCAGGATCTGGAAAAAGCAAAGGTATCACCCTCTGCAGGATGTGCCACGTCTCACTCATGAAAGGATCTCTCTGGTCCTTTGGGGCCATGATTTCCAATCACCACCACCCCTGCCTGCCAGGATCACGCAGAGATGTTTCGGAAGCGGGAGCCATCCGAGATGGCTGGGAGGGCTTCCGGCAAGAGGAGAGGCTCAGATTAACAGAAGACCCGGCCACGCTCTCACCCAGAGCGGAAGGGCAAACCGAAGCGATGGGTTCTGTCACGACCGGAGACCCTGCTGTAGAACAAGGACAAGGGGCGCCAGTGTTTTTTGAAAGCTCGCGTCAACAGCACGGAAGCGGTTTTGACTGATGCGCCCAGGTGACCAAGCCAGGCTGGCAGGCTGCCCGGCTGCCGAGGGACGTGGCCCTGGCGTGCCCGGGCAGAGCTTATCTTGATCTGCACAGCAGGGCAGCAGACCGCCAGACAGATGGACGGACAGACAGGCACATCAGTCCAAAGCAAAGCTGACCTTTCCTAGGATTCTGAACAAGCCCGGAGCCGCCGCCGTGGCTCAGGCTACGAGCCAGAGGCCTCCAGGAGGGCTCCTGGAGGTTAAGCAGGACTCTCCGGTTCTTCCTCCCCTGTGTACAGACTTGAAGATGATGGGGGTGTGTGTGTTTGGTGCTGTTTTTTTTAAAATCTCGTGGAGTGTTTCGTTTCTTTTTTTTTCATTCCAAGATTCTTACCCAAGCAGCCTTCAACTATGAAAACAAAAAGGTGAGTTATCACCATCTTAATCATCATCATCATCCTATGCCATTAAATCAATTCTGATACGGTGATTCTTTTCAGGGTTTTCCAAGTAGAGAATACACAGGTGTGGTTTCCCATTCCCTTCCTCTAGGGGGCGCCCTGGGTCTGTGTGCAGCTTGCCCAAGGCCACCCAGGCTGGCTCTTCTCCCAGGAGGTACAGCAATGGGGGAACCGGAAATCCCAACCCCTGGGTCCATAGTCAGATATCTGAGCTATCCAGCCAGCTTATCATCATCTTAAGCAACCAAAAATAACTCTTTAGATCTGCTCCTCTTTGCAGGAACACAGTTCCCATGCTCCTTATGTTCCCTCCACCTTTCCCAACAAATTTCCATCCATTCAGATACTAAATGTGACTGCCAGCCCTTCTGGGTCACAAAACTCACGACTTTGACTTAATGTTCCTTGTTTAACTCAGATCTTATTATGGCCGGTTGTCAGCCCATTAGGGAGAAAATTACAGCCTTGTCCATTTTCTGTAACAAGGAAAATACTAAACACGCAGCAGAACAAATAATGTATAAACCCAGGGGGGGTGCTGAGCAATCCACTCAAAATATAATCACCTACATACAGTTCTTTTTTTATTTAAACAGTAACCGGTTTTGTCAACAAGCGAGGGGGAGGAAATCAATATTAATTGTAGATTTTTGTATGTGCATCAAACATACTTTTAACCTGAAAAAGATGCATTTCTAAGAGGACCGATTAGGGTTTGGTTGAGTTATTCTTGTGCAAAACATTCTTGGCCAAAGAGCAGAAGAGAGCAAGGAAATGGGAGGAGAAACGGAGCAAAGAACAAATGAGATTTATTAAGAGATGGGGCTGAGAGCAATTCTGTGCCACACATGGGGTTCCTGGAGACTTCCATTTCCTGGATCATTATCTCTGAGTTATGTTGCCTTCGTCATCGAGGGCTTTATATGGTGACACCATCTATCCGAAC